TATATATATATATATATATCTATCTATCTATCTGTGTGCATGTGTGTGTACGTGCGCGCCTTAGTTTGACCCATTAGTTGCGGCCTTTGATGTGTTGTGTTAATCTAGTTGTCTCTAGAAATTGTTTATGTATTTTTGCACATTTTTCATGTGGATTAGGAAGTTTTGAAAACCGTTTTGTGGTTAGGTGGTTAGGAAAACCGTTGAGTGGTTAGTTAGTTTTATTTTCAGAAAAATGTGATGTATTTGCTTATAAATTAAACCAGAAAATGTAGAGGGTGTGAACTACTAAAATAAAATTTCTCCATTTTTGTTGGCGTTTAAAAGTTTGGTTTTGGAAAACCAACATTTGGTATCAGAGCGAAGGTGTCAAAGAAATGGCCGGAAATGATAGAGATCAATCTAAGTCACTTGCTGTCATCAAACTGACGGCAAGATGAACCTCAATTCCGATCCAATTTCCAACGGTAAGCGAAACGACCTACCACTCTTGCACATCGGAGCATTGAGTTGTTCTATTTGTTAAAAGCTTTTCTCTTTTGGTTCTTTGTGGCTTCTTTTTTTTTTTAGTTTTATTTCTCTTCACATCGAATGCATATGCTTTTTCTTTGGGACAAGATAAAATATTTTGGCCTAATTGTTGTGTTAATCTAGTTGTCTCTAGAAATTGTTTATGTATTTTTGCACATTTTTCATGTGGATTAGGAAGTTTTGAAAACCGTTTTGTGGTTAGGTGGTTAGGAAAACCGTTGAGTGGTTAGTTAGTTTTATTTTCAGAAAAATGTGATGTATTTGCTTATAAATTAAACCAGAAAATGTAGAGGGTGTGAACTACTAAAATAAAATTCCTCCATTTTTGTTGGCGTTTAAAAGTTTGGTTTTGGAAAACCAACATGATGTAAGTCCCTCGGGTTAGGGGTTCAATCCCTACGTAGAATCGAATTGCACGCCTTCTGGAAGGGGGGTCCGCCCCTCGGTCAGACTTCGACGATGAACCTTTTCAAATATATATATATATATATGTGTGTGTACGT